AAGCGGAAAGAAGCGGGACAATTATCTATCACTTAGACACACATTCCACGGCCCCTGCTCGCGCGCGCTCCCCGCTCCGTCCATCCAATATAATACGTACTGGCACTATATCTAAATACGTCATATGACCACCAAATCTCCTCTCTTATACCATTCTATTATGTGTTGTCGATTAGAACTCTATCACACCTATATATATCTCTCTCTCTCTCTCCCTTCTCTCTATCTCTCTATATATTATTATACTATATATATATCACTATATATATATATATATATACATATCTATTCACTTTATTTATTATATTTATTCATATTATATATTTATATTGTGTGTGTGTTTATTTACTTACCTATTTATATATCTATATATTCATTTACTTATCAATTAATCTATTATATATGTATACTTGCTTATGTGTGTATTTGACAAAAAATCACACAGACACGCACACACATACAAATAAAACTGCCTAAACATCTTTATAAGGACAACTAGACATAAAGAACAGCAAAATCTCACACACCTGTCACAAAAACATCGGATCACCAGCCAATATTATGATCGGGATGATATCAAAAGATCCTGAGTGCTTAAGGCTGTATAGACGCCATGAGCCCCATAATTATAGGAGATAGATCATGGATGACTCCTCATATATATGTATATTTAGTTATTTAGCTATTTATTGTTTATCTATCTGCCTCATTGTTATCAATATCTGCATCTAGTGTATGTGTATCTCTATCACAATATTTATATTTACATATGATTCTATACTTATAACCATATCTTCTATGTGTATTTATGTTTTTGTATATGTTCATATTATGTTGTGTGTGTGTGGTGGTGGGTGGGCGGTGTGTGTGGGTGGTGGGCGTGTGGGTGGGTGGGTGGGTGGTGGTCTGGATGTTACAATTTAATTAAAAGATCAAAATCGTTATATTTTTCCTCTTAGTATATCAGCGAGTCAGAAACATTTGAATATATGTATTAACAGACACGTAAATAGAAATACATCAAAAGAATTTCAGAATGTGTTTGCTGAAATCTGCGTATTTTTTTCTATCATTATTACTGAAATCTGCATTATATACTTATTTTCCTTACACATCCAAATCACGCCGAAAGCCTCAGTATGCAATAAAATCTGCAAAAATATATGTACCTTCGTTGACTTTCCAAGATGATACCCAACGGATGGCTACAAATCTTTTGATTCTTGCAAATTAAATTTCAGGGCATCAGGTCCTTTTAGTTTTCATATTATTGCTATTATTATCAATATAATTCTTAATCTTAATATTCATAAACCTCGTCTTTCACTCCTCCTCTTTCTTCTTCTCCTACTTCTTCAGATTCATTTTCTTATTCTTCTTGATATTCTTATTCCCCTCGTCCTCCTCCTCCTCCTGCTGCTTCTTCAATTTTTCTTTCTTCTTCCTCTCCTTTTCTGCATATTTTGCTTCTTTTCCTCCTCCTTTTCCTTCTCCTTCTTTTCCTTTCTCTTCTCATTTCTTATTTGTCACCTTACGCAAGCTGTAGAGAACGTGGGCGGAGAAAGGGAAAAAAATTTCGCATATTTCGCTTCTTCTTCTCTTTGTCCTCCATCTCCTTCCTTCCTCTCTTTCTCCTTCTTTTTCGCTTTCTTTTTTTCCTCTTTGGCCACAAGCTTACGCAAGCAGCTGACAAGACCATGGATAGAAGGAGAGAATATCGTTTATTCTCCTCTCCCGTCTCCTTCTTACCCTTCTCCTTCTCTTCTATCTTCTCCTCTCCCATCTCCTTCTTTCCTTTCTTCGTCTCTTCCACGTACTTCCCCCCTTCCTCCTTCTGCACTTTTTTCTCCCCTTCCATCTCCTTCTCTTTCTCCTTCTTCTCTTTCTTCTCCTCTTCCATTTCCTTCTCCTCTTCCTCCTCCTTCTTTTGCCACAACCTAACGCAATCAGCTGACAGGAGCGTGGGAGAAAAGAGGGAAAATAATAGGAACAATAAACAGGTCATAAAAGGAATAGCCGTTGAACGTGACGAAGAGAGGGGTGGGTGAGGGGAAAGGAGGGAGGAAGGGGGAGGGGAGGGTATAGGAGGGAAAGGAGGGGAGAAGGAGAGGGGGGAGGGAAGGGGTGAGGGGAGGGAGGGAAAGGGGAGAAGGGGAGGATTAAGAAGAGGGGGTGAGGGAGGGGAAAGAAGGGAGGAAGGGGAGGGGGCGAGGGGTGGGAGGGGAAGGGGAGGGTAATGGAGGGGAAGGGGAGGGTAAAGGAGGGGGGCGGAGCTAGAACGTAAGGTTAAGGAGAATGAGAGAGAAGGTGAGGGGAAAGGGAGAAGAGGAGAGAGGGTAAAGAGGGAAGGGAAGGAAAGGTGAGGGGAATGGAAGAAAGGGAGAGAGGGAGGGAAAGGAAGAAGGGAGGGGGAAAAGGGAGAGAAAGAGAGGAGAAAGGAAAGAGGAAGAGGTGTGAGAAAACAAGAGAAGGAGAGAAGTGGAAAGGGAGGGAAGAAGAGGGTAAAGGAAAAAAAAGAGGAAGGAATGAGGAGGTTAGGAGTTGAGGTAGAAGGGGATGGAGAGAGAGTGAGAGGATACCAGAACGTGAATTAAAAGAAAAGGAGGGAGAGGATGAGGGGAAAGGACGAGGGGTAGGGAGTGACGTTAGGACGTAGGGTGGAGGAGAAGGTGGATAGAGAGAGGGAGAGAAGGGAGGTGATGCTAGAAAGTGCGATAGAGGGGAAAATGACGTTAGA